AATAGAAAGTAAACCTTTACAATATGTATTTTAACATTTTTAATTTAATTTTAACAAGTATTCAAAATTGGTCATTTAAATAGATTTTTTGTAAAAGTCATCAATCAATTTTATATAAAGTTTGTGCTTTTTACAAATGCTAAAATGACACCCTGAGTTAGACTTGCTTTAGAATAGGCATTGGACATTTCAGGGCATTGCCCCATCAATTTAATTCTTACATGTGTCATTTATAGAAGTGAATGGCAGTGTTGCTTGAATATTTTTATTTAGTTACTGTATGTGGGATGTGGGTCCCTTCTCTGTATACCAGTAATTCAGATTCTGAAGAGTTTTAAGGCTTTCATTTGAGTGCTAAAATACGTTTAAAATAATAACACCAACAGCTGTGACTTGAAAGCTGATGCTTGAATAAAGTATTTAAGGTCAAAAAAACAAATTGTATGCCAAGAACAGTGAATTCTTATTTTCTTCAATTTAAAAATGAAAATGACCAGGCTTAGTTTTTAAAAACTGAAGAGTTTTTCAGTTAAGCTCAGTATGGTTATCTTGCTGTTAAAGATTTACATTTTGTTTTCTATTGGCAGACAGTCACTGCTTAGGTCTCTTTCATTCCTTTTGTATTTAAAAATACGAGTTCAGTGTGGGAGAAAGGGACACATTGAATTCCTTATGGTCATGTTGTGAAATTCTGTGAATTTTGTGTGCAGAAAAAGCTTGTAAAATTGTTGCTGTGACGATTTTGTGAAACCAGATCTATTTACTTTCTCTAAAGTGAGTAGGCACCGTGCAGAAGACACTATTCTCATGCTCATGAAGGCAAAACAGCTGCTTGAAACTGAATAAGATCTTACACCTTCAGCAGACAAGACACTGCATTCTTCTGGGCTGATAAAGCGCTCCAGTTTAGGAGTCTTGTTCACTTTTTTAGTTTCCGATTTTCTTTTCTAAGTATAATGATGCTATGAAAAAGACAAATCAATCAATCAATCAATCCACCAGAGACACTCAATGAAATGTAACTGCAATACAAAGCTGCCCAATATGTTAACCCCCATTATCTGAAAGCAAGGTACTTCTGGCCTTTAAAACCTAAATGTGCTTTTTTTAGTGGGCATCCACTCTGACATTACTACAGTATGCACAGATTAAAGGTATCAAGGAAGGAGGCAGAAGTATAAGATTATTTATCTATCTACTCTTACAGAATCTATCATCATGATACATATATGTTACTTCAGCCACTTAGGGTTACAACATATTTGACATGTAGTCCAATTATACCTTTTGCCTAAGAATGCAGTGTCTTGTATTTGAAATCGGAACCAATGAACAAAGAAAAACAGTGGAAATATTTTGAAAGTCAATTAAAATTTTGTGTACGTTTTCATTTTTTTAATGATAAATTAAGTTACTAATTTTGTCTATGCTCTTTCTAGACACTGCAGGTTTAATTGCTAATTGTTAACTGGGAATGAATACATTTGCATATTAATTAGCTCCCAATTTACATTTTTAATTTGCTGCCTTCAAAGGGTGTGAGATAAAAGGTCGTGTTATTTTAAATAATTTATGCTTTATTGCTGAAAAGATGCTGAAAGGAAATGTGCAGCTGATTTTAACCCCTGAGAGCTTTTACTGTATAAAGCACTCTGAAAATTATTTTAAAAATCTAATTAAATGAAAAAAATGAAGTGAAACAGTTCTTAACACAAAGCCACCCAGAACTGAAAAGTGCTTCAGTGAGTCTCCAGGATTTGTACAATGAAGTATAGAATGCACTGGAGATGGCTTTGTTCAAGTCAAGTACATACAGTAAGCTGCATTTCCAGGAACTTACAGTATATCTTTTTATAACTTTCTCCACTGTTTTGCTATTTCCCTTCATTACACTTTGCTGTGTAAATTTTTTCAGAAAGTTAAGCAGTAAAGTACATTCAATTGTTCAAAATTAAAATGTTTTAGAATTCCTATTTTCTTTGTGGAAAACTATGCCTGTGAAACACACCTACAGTATTGTAGACCAGCTTCCTGTGAGGCACACAGTATTATTCCTGAATATATGGTTCCAGATGCAATTCAATCCTTTGGTAATTTTTGTCCAAATTTTATTGTCCATCTCATTTCCTTCAGTACACTTCCTTTAAAAAATATATTTATTTGTCCATTCTATCATGATCCAGATGAAGGTTTATTTCATGTTACTGTTCCCATTTGCTCAGCTTTGTTAGAGCTATTAACATTAATCACTATGCATTGATACATTTTACAAATTAGCTGGAAGTATGCTCAAGAACATTTTAAATGTATTACTAGAGTTTGGACTGCATGCTTTCAGAAAAAATCTTTAGTTCAGTAAATGTGATTATTAATATTGTATTTTTTCATTTCGCTCATTCATAGATTTACAGTTTATTCTTTGCCAATGTCTGGCCTCTGCACTCTCTGTCATTTGTTTTTCAGTCAGCCGTGCTTCACGGAAGGTGTAAGGCTTTATTTCTGCTCAGATGGGAAGAACTGGGGCCCATGTAATGGTTAAAGAACCATATTTACTGACATGCGTCTAAAATGTGAGAGAGATTAGAAGCGTTTTTGCTTAATTGTCCAATATGTTACGTATTAGCGCAGACGTTAATGAGCCATGGAAAGCTGCCATCCCCTGACTGTGAGTCTTAAAGTGCTGCAACTCCCCTTCATGCTACAGAACTGGGTCCAGGGACATTGGAATTTTTACTGGTTTATATGTGTTGATTTGTTGGCTTTATTTCTAATACTTGTTTTTTGTCTTGAAAAACACCTTGCATATTCCTGTAACCATGACTTTTCCAGCTGTTACCTCTCCTGTCTAGGCAAGGTCAGAGCGAGACGGTTTTAGTGATCTTCCTTTCTCCTGTCAAATCTAAAATTAAATGAAGTTATTTCCTCCTGCTTGTAAACAAATGGCTTAGCAGAGCCGGTGAAGAGTTTTTAGCATGTTCACTTTTAGTTGAACTTTTCCTCTTATAACATTTACACAGTATTGCAGTACTGAGGAACGGATATCCCCCTGAATATACTTCATAGTGTAATCTACACTCGCTAAAAAATAATTATTAAACTATACTGGAATTGTAAACAAAAATATTATGCAGATGAAGAGTAAAGTATAATACTGCCCCTTTACAATGGCAAAATATATTTAAAATATGTACGGTATAAGCAAAAAACATGCAACATATGTCTGTCAGACATCTTTACTTTACATAATAAGGTTCAACAAAAGGCTGCTGACGTGTCTTAAAATTATACTACTGAAATCATGTTATGCTTGTTTTCAAGAGGGGAGGTTTATAGAGTCACTTTTATCATCTCAGAACAATTTTTCTTCAATGTTATGAGTTAGATGGGCTGAAAGGGCTGTTCTTAAGATTGTATAATTGCCAGGAGAAATGTTGTCCATATCAGCCACCCAGACAAATATGTCACCTGAGAGAATCTGTGATGGAGTTAAGTGATATGGATGGAACAGCAGACAGCCAGACAAATGCATCAATTGATGGGCAGCTGTTTTTAATTAGTATACAGTAGATAATTGGGCTGGGTTTTACCATAAACAATTAGCCAAACGGGATAAATAATTTATTATTTGATTGCGAGAATATACAGTAAATACGAATTGACTATAAAAAGTCAAATTATATTTTCTTCATATTGTTATAGTTTTAATTATATAAATTATTGCTTTCTTCCTTCAATAACAATATTTTTTGTTCAATGTTTTCCATATTGCAATGAGGTGTTTCTGAGGAAATTATTCTAGCCAGTCCACTTGTTAAATAAGTAAACCTTTTGTGCCATTTTAATCTTTTCACAGTTGTATTTTATTTCTAAGGTGTTTGAAGCCACAGCTATCCCGATATAACGTCAAACTGTAACCCTATTATCTTATTATTATTATTATTATTATTATTATTATTATTAATACAGCGTGCTGCATGTACCGTACATCCACAGTATTAGCAGCTCTTTCTGTGCCTGTGTGGTACTATGTTTTCCATTTACATAAATGCAGGGTATTTGTAATTATATACTACATGAATTATGTGCACTTTAATATTAATGCAGCTTGTCTGATTTATAACTATGAGGAATCTTTGAAAACAAAAACAAGCAGAACTACACAATTTTGTGTCTGTAACATTTGAAGGTGGAGAGTTAAATGTAAATGGCAAGATGTTGCAAAAGCCATCAACATCTCTGGCTTATGAATTTACAATGCATGTGTTGTCCCTCTGGTACTGGCATTATTCAACACTTAACTCTTCTGGCACAGGAGCTTGATGATTCTTTAGAAGACATTGGTGGAACATTTGTAGTGCATTCATTTATTTTTGTTCTGTAAAAATGTTTAAAACTTTTGGCTTGCTACAGCACAGAGCAATTGAAATCAGTAAGGCAATTCACAACAATTGCAGTGCTTCAACTTTAGAGCGAGTAAAGCATTAGTGCCCATAAATGATTAGATAAGAGATTATAATATAGAAGAATAGTTCTGTATATGTCTTCTGCTTGTAAAATGATATCACAAGGGAAGTTACCTGTTTGTTAGCCTTTAGAGGGCACTTTGATTTGTTTTGACAAAAGCTCATCAGCTTTTCAATAAACAGAACAGAGGAAAACAGATATTGCTGAAAAGACCTAATTTAAACAGTACCCATGAATTAAAGCATCAAACAAAAAGATTGTTACAAGGCCATGAGCCACAGGAGAATTTTTATTTTTTATCCCATCCTTTCCTTAGGACAACATTAGTCTCCAGTATGTTTGGAATCCATTTCATATGGATGCATATTGGAATACATTTTACGATAATTTGTTTGAAACAGTAAATGCTGACTCTAGTCTATAGTTACATTTTCTCAGATATATGTGATGGAAATATATACTGTATATACCTGAAGTTGACTGAAAAAGTGTTTGTTTTATATGACATTTTCTATCTTGTTTTACATGACACACAGGGCATCACAGATGTGAGTAACAGGGCCAGATGCCTCGATCTGAAAGGTACAGCTCTGGAATTTAAATGACCTCTGAAGAGTCTGATTTTTATCCACTTTGTAGAGGAGAATGCATTGGTATGACTGCTTAGATTTCTTTTCAACAGAAATGTATTATGTGACCAACACGTGTTGTGTGAAACAATAAATTGACAATAATATATAATATTTATTTTTTTCCTTCAAAAATGATGATCAAGTTTCTCTCTCACAATCACAAAAGTTATCTTCAAAACTGTAAAACACAGCAGCTTTTGGTTTACTGTGGTGTTGTAAAAACTTGGTTAGGTCTCCACATGCTGTGTATGGTATGGAGATCTTAACATTTTTGATTTTTTTGTATGATTAAATTAATTAACTTGCGTCTTGAGGAGGAATACCTTCAGCATTTTTGTATTTCTTTTTTGTTCAGTTTGGTCAGCATGTTCTTCTCATTTCGTTGTCACACAGAGATGACATCTGACTTTAAGCCTCTGCACATTATCTGTAAAAGGCAGAAGGGATTAGAAAATGGGATTTCAGATCCCTTCGTATGGTACAGTTAAGTGATTATTGTAAAATCATTTTATAAATGATATGCTAATGATGAATAAATTATTATCTACCAACATGCAGCTCAGAGCAATCTGGCACACTTACCAGCGAAGAAGATAAGAGTTTATGAGGAGAAAGGGTCCTTTTGAATATGTTCATAATAAAGATGGACTACTGTGTCCATCAAAGTGTTTCTCCAGGCTTTGTTTAAAAGTCATCTGTTTCTGAATAATCAACAGCTTCTTTGATTTTACTGGGAGAGTGGGAGAGATCTTGTTCATAGGCATGACTTGCATGTAACTAATTCTAGCTAAGACTCGTATGTACATATACTTTATATATATATACTCACTCCACAGGGGGACTTTGTGAAAAGTATTGAAAAGTCAGGCTGTTAGCGTTTGGAGATATTCTGGACTGCTATTATTCTGGCTTTGCAATTTCGTATAACTTTGATCTCTGTCTGAGATCAGCAATTTGGCTGCGCAGCAAACAATTGTAATTGTCTAAAGTCTGATTGCTTTTCAGGTGAACGATTAGATTACCAATCATGTGAGTCTCTTGAAGAAATATTGAAACTACTCCAGTTTGAAATCATCAACCTACAGGAGACTGAACTGGAGGAGAATGTAAGCACGCAAAAGGAACTGTAGGAGAGTCGGGTGTTTTATAGATTATGCAGATTGATGCCCTCTTTGTTTGGTTTCACTTAAATAGAGCTTCTGCTTATTTTGATAATGCAGTAAAATAAATATTACATAAATTATACCCAATAGCAAACAAATATACAGTACAAAGAGCCTATAGAATGTCTACTCACTGATTTCAAAGTGACACTTTTTGTGGCTGAACAGCCTGAAATCAAGATAAATTAAAACAGAATTTATTTAACCTTTATTTACACATTATAACACACAACCTACAGGTGAAAAACAAAGGCTCCAACATTTGAAAATGTAAATTTAGATGTCCAAAAATTAAACATGAAAACCTACACAAATGGGTTATATACACCCTAAGTTATAGAATTGTAAATTAGCTCTTGTGTAACCAATTGACTTCCAAATCACACAAGCTAATTAGCCTCCACCTGTGTTTGAGTGTAGTGATTGTGATGATTTGAGAATAAAGTCTGCTGTTTTTGTAGGTCTTCTCTGCTGGGTAGTGCTTCCTAAAGTAAAGAGTCAAAATTGGCAACAAGAAGCTATCAAAACACTCTGGGATAAAATGTGACAAGTAAAGCACAGAGCAGGAGATTTCAAAGGCCTTAAATACTTACTAATAAGTGGTATATGGGCCCACCTAGATCTTACCTGGATCAGCAGACTTTCTCTGCAGAAAGGATTGGGACACTGGTCAGGACTGAAGGGAAATTGGATTAAGCAAAATACAGGTAGATTCTTGAGAAAACCCTGCTGCCCTGCTGAAACTGACAAGAAAGCTTACCTTTCAACATGACAATGACCTTAAGCACACAGCCAAAGCAACAGTGAAGTTCCTAAAGAACAAAAACATAAATGTCCTCAAGTGGCCCAGTCACAGCTCTTACCTCAATCCAATTGGAAATCTGTTGAATGACTTTGATGGTTGCTGTCCATCAACAGTGCCCTCACCATCTGACTGAGCCTGAACAGTTCTAAGGAGGAATGGGCAGACACTGCCGAACCCAGGTGAGCTGCATTGGCACAAACCTGTCCAAACAGAATTATTCTGTAATACAAGCAAAAACATGCTTCTACCAAGTACTAACTCAGTTAACTCAATTATATAACCCCTTTTTCTAGGTTTACATGTGTAACTAAGTATCAGAATGTTTGAGTGTTCATATTTCACTTGGAGGTTGTGTATTACAATGCATAAATGAAGGTAAAATAAATTGTGATATAAAGAGAAACTGCAGTGGCAATTTCTCAGACTGGTTATTAACAGTAACAAAATAAATTAATTGATGTTATAGAAAAAAAAACAAATTTTCAATAAAGCACAAAATTGTGAAGATTGTTAAAGTACTGTAAGTCACCATGTTATCGCAAACTCACATTCAAGTTCCCACAAATGCAACATGATTTGGCCCTTCCTGCTCACTAGTCTCTGAAATGACTAATCTACTGTGATGTACGAGTGAATAAGTACAGGTTGAGCAGCAGACACCTTGCTGGAGGAATGCTTCAACTTGATCTGCATGCAGACAGTTAACAAGTAGTATTTGTCATCAAACCATCTCAAAATCGAAAGAAATATTTCTATTGGATTAAAAAAATGTTTTCACAAGCCTGCTTGTCATAGGGCGGCACGTGTTGCCTGACAATTTGTTGCCCTATTCTGAATCACAAACATGGTGCTGCGCATACCTGGAAATTGAATCAATTTTGTGATGTAAATTGGAGGTTTACCCCTTTTAACCCCTTAAATTTAAAAATAGCATTGCAGTTCTCCTTAAATGTACCTTGATTTCAGACTGTTAGACCTCAAAATGTGTTACAGTACTTTGGAAAGGATGTTTAGACTCTATAGGCACGTAGTATGTATATATACATACGTACAGTACATGGAAAGATATATTGTATCTTATATTGTAGATATAATGTACTGGGCACATTAAAGTCACACACTTTACTAAGAATGTGATTGGGTCAGGTGGATTGCTCAGAATACACTTCTTTTCTCTGAGGAACAGCTGCAGTTTTCCTTCTGCAGTGGCCTTCAGTATTCGTATTGTTTGCAGGGGGCGTCTGCCTTGCTGGACATGATTCTGTACTATGAATCCACAGCACATCTTGACATGTCGTCAAACACAAACATTGGGGTTGGCGGCTGGCAGGCTCTGTCTCACCTGCTCCAGAAGGTAAAGACCCGGAGAAACTGCACCACAGTGAGCCAGGACCAAATTCGGACTGGATTTTTACCAAAGGGCTTGTTTTTCTCTTATTGCAGATAATATTGCAGTGGATTTATTCAAGGGGGGTGTTTGGTAATATGGTCAGAGTAGACAGAACCTTTAACATTTGGAATGTCTTATAAGAGTTCTTGGTAAAATTAGTAGAGGGTGTTGGGTTGTTAATAATATGGTAATAAAATCCAGAACTTTGGGTGATTTAAATTATTTTAAAAATTAAAATCAAGTATGATTTGGCCTTAGACACCAGAATAAAAAGCATTTAAAAGATATTCTGTGAGAGTAATAGCAAAATCAAACATTCTCACTCCAGTACAAAATTTCTTCCTGTCTTTCCAGTTCTTTTCATTATAAGCATAAAACATTTCAAAAAAATATTGACACTATTCATCCATTGAAATGTTTTTATGTGTTAATCCATTTTGCTCATCTAGAAATACATTTGGATGTTATTCTCCTTTTGAACATATGCTGTGCTTGATGAAGAGGCAGTCAGGGTCCAGGCTTTGTGCTGTCCAAGCAGCGGCCGGTGTTGTGTGTTTCAGAGCCGGTGCCTGCGGAGGCTCGATGCCTGTAACCTGCCCCTGCAGGAGTATCCTGCCCAGAGGCTGTCCAGGGCCCTGCGCTGCAGCAGGCTGGCTGTGCTGCACCTGGACAATGCCTCCCTGAACGGCCAACCCCTCTTCACGCTCGGTACGCTGCCCCCTCCCGTGGTCACAACAGTGGCAGCACTGGCGACCTGAGTGACATTTTTCCGTGAAGCTCAAGACAAAGACAAAACACACTCTAGTTTGTAGCGCAGAAGCACTGCAAGGAACGTTACACTCTTCGAATCTATATGGAGAAATACTTTCTTACTTTGACACTGGGTTCTTGCTGTTCATTTAAATCTCAAACCAGTATGCAGGTGATGCATGTTTGCTTGAGGGTAGGTCAGCAGGAACAGGACACATTGAAAGAGAAAACCACCTCTGACCTCTGTGAATTTCCCAGCCTGAGCTGGGGATTACAGTTCCTAATCTTCTGGTGCCACTTTAAACACCAGTATCCTGAGAGGCGCATCCTGCTGTGGTCAGAAACTTTGAAAATTGGCAAAGATTTCTTCTGCAGAGATTTTAAATACACAACTAACAATACTCTGTCCTTCTGGAAGATAAAAAGGTTCTTAATGAATCAATAAGCCCTGACTCAATGTTCAAACTCTCTACTTCTTTGTTATTAGTGCAGTGCTGTCATGCAAACTACCTAATCATGATAAAATATATTTAGTAAGAACTTTTACTTACACAAATGTACTTGCTCAGTACCCTTGTACAATTACTTGTGTGTCTTTTCCGTAAATACTAAGGCTGTAACTGCGATGTCAAACAAATGACAAAATAGCAACAAGGACACAGTCAAAACATGGCTACAATGTACTAATCAGCCCCAGTCAGGGTGAAAGTGCCCTGTAGCTGTGAAATGTTTTGACACTGATAAATTCTCCAGCCTGATGGAGGTGGTGTCATGGGTTGGGCGTTAGTGACTGCCTTTGGAACTAGATCACTCATTATTATTGATGATGTAACTAATCATCAGCTGAATGAATTCTAAAGATTGCAGAAGCATTATGTCTGTTTATGTGAACGGAAATGCTTTCAGAATCATTGGGCAGCGCTTCACCTTGCAGCATGATACTGACCCAAAACATACAGCAAATGCACAAAGATGTTCATCAGGAAAAATAAATAATGAAAATCTAGAACTCGCCAAGTCAATCTTCTGATTTAATGGGAAACTGCAATTTTTAAATTAAGGGGTTAAAAGGAATCAGCATTGATGAGTGCATGTCAAACCATAATTGAAGTAAAATATACACAGTAACTTGTAAAACCTCCAATTTACTTCACAAAATAGATGAAATTTCTAGGTATGCACAGCACCATGTTCTGCAATTCAGAACATGACAACAAAACATCTGGTGACGTGTGTGGTCTTATTACATTGTAAACAAGCAGGATTGTGAATACATCTCTTTAAATCCAATAGAAATATTGCTCTTGATTTTGAGATGTTTTCCAACAAATACTGCTGACTTATTAACTCTGCATCCAGATCACATTGGAACATTTCTGCAGTGAAATTTCTGCTGCACAACCTGTAATTATTTGCTCTTACATCACATTACGTTAGTTATTACAATGACTAGTGAGCAGGAAGGGCAACATTTACATCACAATTCTCACAAACTTTCACTCTTGCCCTGACCAGGCTAGACCAAGTGTTTGTGACAACAAGGTGACTTACAGTGCTTTCACAAAGTACACAATATTGTTCTGTACCATCAATGAATTTATTTTGTAATTGAGTTTGAATAACCAGTCTGAGAAATTGGGACTGCAGTTCCCCTTTGAATTTTAAATCTAAAATGCATCTTGCATATTGAAGAAAAAACTGAAGTCAGAACACTCCAAGTACAGACCAGAACTTAAACTGTCTACATCTCAGATGATCACACAAAGAGTTTTGCAAGTGCAATGAACAGAGAGTTTTATACTCACTGACTTTTATACTCTGAAATTGACTTCAGTGAATGAATACTTACAAGCACTTAGAATCACTGTATGTTTCTGTCCTAATAAGATCAACCTTATGCCTGGAAGTGCTGAAAATTAAAACATGTTATGCTTGTCATTCATATTAGTCTAATCATGACAAATACAAATTGCTCCACTGTAAAGCAAAAATTGCAGTTTTGACTTTGCTGTCCAAATACTTTTGGAGGGCACTCCAAAAAAATAAATATGATGTAAATAACAGCTCCTCTTACAAAGCACAAAATTATGAAAGCACAAAAGCTTTTAAATGTCTTTACTGCACACAAAAAAGGCCAGATTCAGACTGAGCCCATAAAGCTCTGCAAGTTCAAAATGAAGGCAGCAGACAGAGACAGTTTGCGGGAGACTTTCAGAGCCTCGTATCCCATGCTTTGCCTGTCTCTTCCAAGAGATGAATGCCTGTGGGAAACAGAAGAGATTTATTCTCCACTTTTTAGAAATATTGATGGATTCCAATGACTCAAAAGAAGCAGGCTGAATTCTTTGTGCCTTATTGTTTTGTTACTACTACACTTGTAATTTTACGAAGGGACAGATGCAGTTCATTAAGTTGGTAGTGAAAAGAAAGTGAACGGAGTTCCACCTGTGTTCCTTTCTTGCTGAGCCCCACAGTGCTCTGTGTAAGTTCAGCAAAAATAAATCTGTCCCTTTAAACATGTCTTGATTCATTTGGTATTTTGGCTATGCACAGTGTCTTCTCTCTCAGTGGGAGACACGGAGGCTGATCATTGAAATCGATTTGTTGGGTTTGATTGCGCGACTTGGCGGCCTTCACAGTGGAGTCACCTGAATCAATTTCAACGATCAGGCCGTTTGGTTCCCACTGTGTGTGATGACAATGTTGGCATTCCGCATGCAACCAAAAGGCTTGATCAAATCTGCTGAATTGATCGGCGAAAACAACAGTGTGTGACCACCACAAAAAGAAACCCTAAAGACAGCAGTTTTCAGGAGCCTTTCATTGAAATGAAAAAAAAAACTATCCTTTTAAGAGATGAAAAATGGAAGTTGTTTTTATTAAATATGTAATTAGGAAAAATTAAGATAAAACATCAATCAAATTGAGAATATTTCTTTCTATTGTCACTGTTTCGTAATCTAAATTTGATCATTTGCTTTTAAGTTCTTTTTGGAATGCTGGTCCTGTCAGTGTTCATCCACACATACTCAGTTAAGCTCATTAAAACTGCACGTTTTAGCCTTACTCCATTTAAGATCCATATTCTATTTTACATCTGTTTTCAGAAAAAATATGTATTAGATTTAAGGCTGATAAAATAAACTGAGAAAAAGAATTCAGTCAAAACCATACCATTTACCAATACAAGTGCCATTAAAGCAAATCACCTTGATGGAGCCTTTTTTTTATAAATGTAAATGGAATATAAATCACACATTTATTTTGTGTTTTGACTCTATATTTCACAGTTTGTGCTCTGAAGGTGAACTGTGCCTTACAAGAGCTGTACCTTGGAAACAATAAGCTTAACAGCTACCAGGATGCCATGCAGCTGGGAGAACTTCTCAAATATAACCACTGCCTCAAACTGCTGGACTTGAGTAACAACCTTATTTCAGATGCAGGTAAACAATCTGGGTTATCAAATGCCAATAAAGGTAATCACAAAGGCAAATACATACCTCGTTTAACATTTCAATTCATGATGTATACCATAGTTTATGTGATAGTGCACCTACAGTATCTACCTATTTTCCAACTATCTTCTAGGTCTGGAAGAAATCTGCGATGGTTTAAGAGTGCAGAGAAATGGGATTAGAAGTATTGTGCTATGGAACAACCAAATAACTCACAGAGGCATGCTCCATCTGGCTAGCACACTGGTGAGAAATACGGGAAAACTGCACGCGTTTGCTGCACTGCACGTGCCAGGTATATTGGAAGTATGAACCTTGGAGAGTGGAGATAGTAAGTAATTACTACCTAGAAGCCTGAAAAGTGCACTCACTGAGACGCAAGGCAAGGTGAACCTGGTGAATGACTTGGGAGCAGCCCTCTGAAGACATCAGATGCCGCAATGCTTGCGGTTCAGTGCAGCTGTCTGCAAGAATGGACAGTGATCAAAGGTACCTTTGAAGCAGGGTGTGATGCCAAGACTCACAGTGCTGGATGGTACAGAGTCTCTAGGATTTTTATATATTGCACTTATGAGTTGAAATACAAAAAATCCCTGTGGATATTAACAACCTCAGTTAAATAAGGTTAGGTTTTATCTGTCAGTACAATACCATTTAATCCCATCACTTAGCACTTTATTCCATTAGTTATAGTGGCGTTACTCCCCCAGGTTTCTGGAGAATCCCCTTGCCAGAGGACTAGAGGTTTGGTGCTCTTTTGGCAGATTGAATCAGCCACAACTACAACTATGGTGGAATGTCGAATCCAGGGTCCAGTTGCATCAGGTGCATACTGTACAGTAGTTGGCACTGTTCATGTTCTGGACCGACTGCGATTTTTGATGTGCATTTTTTTCAGGAATGGCTGCATCACTTGAGTGCCCTACTCTCCCTTTTTTTTCCAAACTTGACTTCATACCACACTCTCGGGGCCCAGCGAGACAAGAGAATAGTAATATAAAGAGGAAGAAAGAAAGTGGGCACACCAGAAATAGAATGACTTTTCCTCACAGGATATCTTATGTAAAATCCCTAATAATATCCATTCTTCTTCGCCCGCACTGATTGTCAGAATAAACTACACCTTCCGTCATTTGAATGGCGATTGAAAATCAAAAGGATACAAATTAAGGGCCCGTTCTCTTTCATCTCGGATATACACATTCAAGGCTGATCCATCCAGGCCGAAAATAAAGCGGACTTGTTCCATTTCAGTGCCACTGAATAGGAACAGTTTGATTAAATAATAGATATGTGTTTAGGAGGTTTTCTCATGTAGTCTGTGATTAAGAAGGATAACTAGACATTCTTGCGACCATAATGATCATAATTAGAGCAGTGGCTGGTAGTGTCGAATATGACACTGGAAAGGCTGTTATTAACCTTTCGCTGTTTTTTTTTTACTTCTTTTTTTCTGGATGCCTCTAAAAAAATAAAAGCAAAGCATTTGGCCAGAAGTGAATCCTGCTCCAATGTCAAAGAACTTCATTAAATCACCCATTTACCTGCCATCTGAAGTCCTTGGAGCCTTTCAGAATGCAAAGCCTTTATTTTTATTGGTTCTAAATGGCTCATTTCAGATGTATTATCACTGTCATTCTAGAGTGATGCCACATGGCTTATACTATACAGTAGTGTTGCTGCAATTTCAAACTTTTAAGACTGCCGATGTACTAACAACACAAAAACAGATTTTTCATTGTCTATGTAGGTCATGGTAAGATCTAATGAAATAATTACTCAGAATGACAAAGGGAACTGAAGAAAGATTTAATTTAAATTCAGTTTCTTAATCCTATAGCATTTGAATAATTCCAATACATTTTCCCACATAGCAAATGTCTTCAGTCAGCAGTGAAATAATTATTTCTAAACAGGTTTTCACTTTGTGTTCAAGATACTACAGGAAAATTAATTTTGGGATAATATTATATCTGGAAGCATCAACTCTTGCACTTGTCCAGCTCAAAATGTAATCTCATCAATTTAAATATTGAAAAAAACTAGACTAAATAGTGGCAAACGTTAGTAATTAAATTAAATTCTGAAAAAGACTTTGAACTGAAACCTACAGCATACAAAACGTGAAGCTTAACTTGTCATTTATAAAAACATAAGTATGTCTCTTAATTTTAAACATCACAGTGTAATTTATTGAGATCTTGTTTTACAAGCACTAGTATAAATAAACAAATACATACTAGTGAAACCGGATCAGAGAATATGGGACTGTTTGATTAATTATAATTAATTGAGCCCTAGGTATGATTGCAGGTGGATTAGAGTTTCCAAATAAGTGTTAAGCTCATATATAGTCCACTCTATTTCACATTTAAGACATCTTACTGTGAAATAAAATGCTATGAATGTAATTTTACATACACACCACCTTAAATTACAAAAAATGAATCCTAAAAAATTCCAATATATTCACTAATTAGTCTTTCCCTGTAATTATGAGAATGAGTTTACAGCTTGGCACTCTCCCAGAATGTCATGCGGGTAATTTCTGTAGAGAACTATGCATAATAATTTGGCCATAATTTGTCTACTCTTATTACTTTACAAAAAAGAACAGGTGACATTAGAAAGGGGAAAAATGAAAATGGCTCCTACAGAATTTAGCATTTCTTTTCAAGGAGTTTGTGTTTTGCATGTGTAATAATTCTCAGTTTCAATTTACACTAAATGGTGCCCAAAGATCTTTACATTTAAGAATTCTGGCTCTACTGTTTACATTCTAACTCTGAATATTGTAGAGGAAATCCAAGTACTGCAGTTTATAACACTTAAATCCTGAAGACATCAGTAAGCTTGCATAAAACACCGTCTTGATCTGGAAAGCTCGACTTTGTTCTTGGGTGTATTATACTGTCCAAAACTCTGCTGCCTTTCCTGTCCCATGCTGCACACTTCTGAGGTAAATTGCCACCCCAGCTACCGTGTGAAGCACTAGTGATTTTGTAGTCACCCGTCTTTAAATTCAGTCTCAAAACAAATCTTTAGACTCATTTAGCTGTGTTTTGGGGGATGTTATCTGGTGCTCAAGCAGTGTGACAGTAAGACAGATCTCCTAGCCCTCACTCCGTTATGTAACGTCATGGAGCTCTGATGGTCTCCCTTGCCACATTGGTGCTTCTGGTTTATATAGCTGCTAATCAGGCTTCAAAATCTGTAGCTCCTAATTTGCTCTGGTGGGACAGTTCCGGGCTTTTGGCACATGCAGACTGAGGTTCAATTTGTCCCAATTGTTTCCAAATAATCTAGGCACCTCTTTTTTCATTAATCAGTTGCTTGTTTTTCAGTTGACAACATACTATGCTGTTTAAAAAGCTCGGTACTATTTCCAGTTATATGTAGTATTTTTTTTAGCAGAGAACATTTGCCAAATACTGTACATATAATATCCATGTAGTATTTATGAGAAGTTATATTATAGCAGTGATTGTTAAATAGTTCTGTTTCACAATTCTGAGTGGCAGAGCTGTTGAAAAAAAATCCTTCTAATGCTGTTTTGCAAAATTTAAATTTGCTGCCAAAGATAGCCATTTTGCACTTAGGACTCACCAGCATGACATAGCTAACATCAGCCAGTGACAAAAGGATTTCTATGTGCCTTTTAATGCAGACAGAACTAGAAGTCTGTTTAGATGATTGTGACTCTCGCTATTGTGAAACAGCGAGAGCTAATTAGTATTCAGGATTTTCATGCTTCGTAGAGACTTGCTCTTAATAAAATAAGTTTCTGAGTGGACAGATGGACAGGTGATACAGTATTTATGTAGACTGGTGATGTGCGTATTGTATATATGGTAGACAAGTGAAACAGTGGATTGTTGTGTCTGAATGAAAATGTTTCATTCTTATAGTACAGTAACTTTAATGCATTGTAATGCATGAAACCCTTATTCTACAACCTGGTAATATAATTTATTTCAGCCCTGTGTCACAACCCTTGAAACACTGAATCTTGGCCACAACAATATCCAGGACAAAGGCATCCAAGAGCTTAAGGAAGGTCTGATAGCTAACCGATCTCTTCTGCAGCTTGGACTGGCCTACACTGGAATCACTTGTGAAGGTAAAGATTCTCTTTAGTTTTCATCTGGGAAGCTGGCTTACATTATCAGTATTTTAACGTTTTTTTTCCGTACATGTTGTGTCCGATACTGTATATGTCCTGTGTGTCAGCAGTTGTTTATTTTCACTTTTATATTTACTGGACTCATCACCCATGCTCTTGGAGACAGCTTTTGGAGAGACGCCTTAAAATGAGCTGTTCCTTGAAACCTGATTAACTTTATATGGAGCTCTCTGTGAAATCCTGAGATGAACATATGAAAAAAGACATGAACAAATCCAAGAGTTAAAAGCACTGATAAAAGTAAAATAGTTGCAGCGGTGTGGCTTTCTGCTGTGGAGACTTTAGTGAAAAAACAGCCTTCAAACTGCCATTTTTTCATTAATTACCAGCTGCAAAGAATCAATACATAATTCTTCTGATTTTTTAACGGTGTTATTAAATTAAAGTTAGTGGCCTCGTTTTTATACTAAGTCATCAGCATTAAGATAATAAGGTCAGTTTAGCATTTTTCTCTTTATATTTAAATTTAAAAAGTTTTAAAAACTTTTATTAAAAAGCTGTGAAATCAACAAATCAATTTGGAAATAAGCGAAAGAACCGAGCGGTTTTGTAAAGTTTTTTTTAGCACTTTAGCCGCAAGAAGTTAAATTCAGAAATCACTTCTAGGTGCTGTAGCTACAGCAGAATTCATCGTCGAGAGTCTTCGCATCCAGAGGCTCGACGTGCGAAAGAATTTGATCCGAGCAGCGGGCCTGATGGCTCTGTCCTTGGCACTCAGAATAAACCACTCACTGATCAGGGTGGACTTGGATAAAAAACCGAAGAAAGAGAAGGTAAGCCAGCCTACTGTCCCATGTTGGCAACATGCAGTACACATGCGCTGCGCAGGTGGGCTTCCCGTGCGTAAAACTCGCCTAGGTGTCCGGAGCGTGTCTGACAGTTGCTCGTTTGTTTCTAGAAATTACAAAGATTTTTTTGAATCATATCCATTTTAACAGCAGAATAACAAAAACTAATTTAAACTACGTTACTCCGTGCATCAAATTGTTTTTAGTTTCAGTACCTGTAATTAGATAGACTTCTGAAACCCACGAATTAGCCGCGTCTGTGTAAAAAAAAACAGCAGAAATTAAAAAAATATTATTGGTATTCACCACTACTATCTGGGGGAAAAGGATGGAGATTTTGCTTGTGTTGTTAAACCAAGTGCAGCCGAATCTATCGGTTGAGCACTGAAGCCCAAGATTAAAATGAAGGGGTTGTAATAACATTTTGACACTGACACAGGAGTAGATTCTGTGTTTTGCATTTCCAGGCCTTGGATGTAATTTGCCAGGTTAACATACAATCTGAGCAAAGCAAAACAACTTTGCAGAATATTTTGGGGAAGTATAATTAGGAAGTAAATATGTGCTGCTCTTTTTTCTGAAGCATATTTTGCACTGCAGTCTGTGCAGTGATACTCTTTCCTTGTTCCTCACACTCAGCCCTTGAGCTTTGTTTGTGATGACACACTTAACTAGGAAGATGAAAAAAACAAGTGAGAAATGAGAGAGTAGAAAAAGGCAGATGGTGTAAATCAGATATGAAAAAAATAGTTATTTGGTTTGTGGGAAATTGCATTTTTAAATATATTCAAAAGGGAGCATTTTATTAGTATTTGCAGAAACTATATGTTTATATATTTCCTGTATTTACATTTAGTAACTCCACTGTCATTTTGTGGTTTTTCATGATTTTTCTATATGAGGTAGGCCGCCCATTTATGAATTGGTTTTAAAGCAATCTCCTAACAATTTCATGGAAATGATTAGTACAACAGTAATGTGCATCTATCCTCAACCACAAACAAGTCTTGTGAGTGTCATTAAGACACAAAAGCAAAACTTTTATTCAGTCTGCTTTTAAAACAATACACCAGTTCTTCTGGCGTGCATTTTTTATGATTCTGTTAAGGCCTAAGGAATATGATGCCACAACTTTAATGCAATGCCCCTGCTGGATTAAAAAAAATAATTAAGCTTACTTGCCATCTGTTTGTCATGATTTTATCTTCACTAACTTATTTGCATATTAAAGCATTAATTAAATTCTCTAAGGAAAGTGTGCTTACTTTAAAATTAACTCTAAAGCCTGTTTGTGCGAATGCCTTAAAACTTCTTTCCTTCATCTTTTGTACCACCTTCACATTTATTTTCATCCACAGGCTAAGCAATATCTGTCCTTTCTCAATATTACTTGTTTTTATTATTTCATTACTATTTCAATGGGTACATTCGATAAACATGTGGGTGCAACAGGAAGTGTTTTATGTTAATTTATGTTGCTAACGAATGATTTATTGGATGTCCATTGCAGCTGCCTGAGTGTATATAACATTGGTTAATTAAAAAAAGAGAATCATGCAGGTTGAGTAAGAAGTTCACACAACATACCTAATAATGGAGGCAGTGGTATTCGTTTTACGTACTGTTCTAAGAAAAGAAGATTCTGTAGCTGTGTCAGGAAAAACAGGCTTACATCATTCAACTGTATGACAAATGAAATAAGGGTATCTCATAATGTAAGTTATCACAGCTCTTTCTATTTGCATCTTTATCAGAGATTTTGGGATTTTGCTATTCATATTAAATATCCATTCCAACTGCAGTAAGAACGCACTCTAGCCTGTTAAGGAGTAGTGACACAGCTGTGTTTTGTTAGAACATTTCATAGTGGTTGGGGATGACCCATGATAGTATTACACACATACTTTCAGCAGAATGCAGCAGGTAATCAGATATAGGTAGCTGATGCAATCCAGTCTAATTCCCCAGGCTTGTAAAATATGTTAATAAATTGCTGCAGCAGTTTATCCCATAGGGCTCTAGGTTGATCAAATACACCCCTAAGCATGTTTGAGAATTCAGAACCTCAGTGGATACTTTCTCCCGCTAATATAATTAGAAAAAAGAGGGTAAAAAGAAAAGGGAATTTTACATGTAGTGGCAGCCCTTGGTTCTGTGTATAAAAATAGGTGTCATGGAGGAAATATTTAGTCCCTCTCTTCTTTGATGAAAAAGTCCCTCTTCTATTTGATCCTCAGCCTTTTTTGTCATTAATTATTAATTATTTATTCATGTAAAATATTCATAAGGAGTAGTCTTCAGAAATGCAACATTCAGAGGGCACGTCTGTAGCTCTTGTAAGGTGTTATCTGTTTATTTGTCTTGACTATCTCCAGAGGATTTTGCCAGCCTAACAGATACATAGATTGACTGAGTCTGTCTTAGCCAGAGAGCAGAAGGTTACGCCTTTTATTTTAGTTTCCCTACTCTTCAAGCGCAGACCTCAGACCGCTAATGAAATTATCCTAGTCATTTAACAGAAAAGGGTACCATACTTTCTGTAAAAAAAAGTGTTTAATTTTTTCCCGTTCTTTCAGTAAGATTAATTTTAATTTCATTCGCACAGAGTATAATTAAAAGTGAGAAGCTCTGATTGGAATAAGATAAGCAGCCTGTTGGGAATAGGATAAAGAGAAGAAGGAAATGCTTTTTATCATGAATGTTTAACCACTTTGTCATGTTGCCTAACTATCTGAAACTGGTAGCTGACCATGCATGGAGCAGGAACAGGTCCAGCTTGGGACTGTTGACAGATATCGAGAGCCAGAACAGCTCATGACACCACTGCTCCCCGGCAAAGCAGGCTGGGTAAAAGGGAAGCTTCTGACTTTGACAGGTCAGTAATTTTGATGACCTGATCATTTGTCTGGATTATGGCAAATGCATGTCAAGAAAAGGGGGTGATCTACAGGTCCTAAATGTGAACCAGACAATGCCGCACTGTGCTTCTGCAGGATCCAAGCCTCCGGTTTTTAAACCCTCGCACATACCCAGTGAATGGGACCCGGAGTGAGTCGTTGGTGTAGTCTGTGATGAAACCCAGCCTGGCTGCTCTCTTGATGAATTAAAAAAAAAGGCATATTTGCCAGCTGTGTAACTTACTGCAGCTCTCATTTGCATATTAAAGCATTAATTAGCCCCTCTGAGCGCCTGTGCACGGATAGTGTAATCATTGGACATGTAGTCGCTCGGGATGGCTCCCTGGTGCCGTCCTGGGGGAGGCAGAGCAGCTCTGCCTGGGTCTCTGGGTGGTGGTGTTGACCATGTGGAGCGTGTTTGTCGGCTTTGTTTCCCAGCTCAGAGGGGATGTAGTAGTGCGTTGCTCAGTTTTTAGCTTTTCCAGGCTCTTTGAAGTGTCACATTTGATCTGTCTCCCTGTCAGTTTAATAGCTCCACTCTTCCTGGTGCTGTAGTCAGAGGTGTGACCTGCAGTTTCACATTAAACAGGGGAGAAGGGAGGATAAAATAACTATAAAGTCTGGTGCTTTAAACTGCTGCCGCACAGGTGGCAGCACCTGTTTTGAGTCTGGAAAAATTGTACAAGCTGGGGTGGTTGAAACCATGGGTACTGCAGCACAACCAGTGCAGAGCATTGGGTAGATCTGTGTGAATTTATGCCCCTGAGAAGTTTAATAATAAAAGCAGATTGTTGTTCATAGGCAGGAGGTTTTTAAAATTCTATGAGTCTATGTCATTTGTTCTTGTTATTCTTTTTTTATTGAAAGATGCTTTATGAGTGTTACCAGCTCTCCTCCCACCCCTGTATAACCTAGGACAAGTAGAACCCTATCCTAATGAGAGTTGGTGTGCAGTGGTGACTCAGAGTGTGGGTGTGTGATACAGGCGGGGGTCACACTGGAACAGCTGACAGAATCAGGATTTTATTGACAAGGGGAGACTTGCCCCTGGCCCTTAGCACTGACCTTTAGAGAGTTTCAGTATTTAAAGCATCTTCTAAATAAACCCATTATGTCAAATGTTTAAATTCTTAATTAATAAACCCCGGGTTGCAAGGACAAGAGAAAGCTCGGTGAAAAGATCTGGTGCAAAGTAACCTCCTTGGGACAGACTGCCTCGGTGGTGGAGACCAGCGAAGATTAGACCTCTCGCTCCCCCAGATGGCGATCACTTCCTCTTTCCAAAACGTGTTCACTTCCTCCTCTTTGTCTATCGCTCCTTGTCTTTATTCCTGTGTCCACACATGTGACCACTGTTCTAGATATTCGGAGCCTTGTCTGTGTGCACGCAGCTATAAGTGCAGTACTAAGACTGTAACATGAGCTGAAATCCATAAATTATCAACCCCTCAACAATCTAGTCAAGTCTAATTTCAGAATTGAATTAGATATTTGCAGGCCAAATGTGTGTGCTGACATCAAGAAAGCACATGCATTGTTTGCTTAAAGGTGAAAAGAATTACTTAGTGACGACTATCAGTTTAATCGAAACAGCATTTTTTTTTTTCAAAATCCTTAGCAAAGGTTCAGCAGACTCTGCCACCAGGGAGTACCACTTAGACAAAGTTACATCACCTCAGACTATTTTTCTTCTGTGTATGCAAGCTTGCAGACCTGTCAGATGTGTCAGTGTGTCTGCAGGGAAACATGAGAGCCATGTTTCTTTCTCAGATTGCATAGAATCCATCAAGTTGGCAATGAATAAATAAATGCCAAATTCTGCATACTCTGAATACATTTACCATGTACAATTCCATTAAGCCACAGTGTGCATTGTGGAAGTCATATGAAACAGATAAAGTAACTTTACAGTTATCTTAGAGATCCATCACTGAGCACAAGTTGTGTCATGTTGAGTCTTATGATATAAACTTAAATATTAGCATTTGCTGATATTATTACTCCGGACTAGGCCTGAATTCAGCCATAAAGACTGCTCATTGATGCCTTTTCATTTGGTTGCCAGAGCCTTTCATTACCTAATGTAAACCTTCCATTGAGTGCTAGGTTTGGTGAATTCCCTAAACCAAGATAATATTACTAGCTTGTATTTTATTGTTCTCTCAATTCATACTAAGAGTATATTAGGACAAAAATAAATCAATAAATCAACTTATAATTAAAAAACTATATATGTGATATAAAACATTCAGTTTCTTTGACAGTGTACAGTTAAGATTGCTTACCGTGACAGAGGTTTTTTCTTATGAAGCTCTTCATGAAGATATCCTTTTCTTTTTAGTTCTGATTCTTAAGCCTGCTCTTTACTCAAAATACTGGAGGCAAACCAAGCTTAATGACTTAGCAAGTCAAAGGCTGCGAACGTAAAAACATAAGAAAAAGGCGAGAAGAGGTCATTCAGATCATTTAGTCCATTTAGTTCCTATTAACTAATGAATTGATTGGTATCGTTCTTAGACACCAGGGTATTCACCTGAACAACATGATTTTTTGACATGTCATGTACTCCCACAAATGATGTGCTTTAAATATCCTTCTCAATAGTTTACATTTGTATCCTCTGTTGCTTCTGAAGAAGTTCATTGGATTGGCTTTGTCAATGAGGTCCCATTAAGTCTCCTGAATGTACTGATTCAGATTCTTTTACCTGTCATGTGGGTTATTTCTTTGTGCCCAGGAATGATGGTTGCTCTTCTCTGAGCAGATCCCAGAACAGTAACATTTTTTGTAACAAGTTGTACAAAGTGCATGCTATCTTGCACACTGTACTAGTGCATTGTACAGTTTTTAGATACGATCCATTGATTTTAATTCTATACTTTTAACTATGCAGTCTAACAGCAACACTTCTCGAGAGAGAAAGGCACTGCAGAGAATGGTGAATGTGGCCCAGAAGATCACCGGCTGTGGTCTCACAGAGATTAAACAGCTCTATGAGGACTGCTGCCGTGGTAGAATTCTTGTCATCATTGAGGACAGTCACCACCCCGGGCATGAGCTCTTCACCCCACTGCCCTCAGGCAAGAGATACGAGAGCATATGGACACTGACCACTAGATTCTTCAATAGCTTCTATCCTCAAGCAGTGAGATTGGTGATCACATTTGGCCATGCCCCTCTGACCACACCTACACCATCTACCTCATTATGATTTCTTATTTATTGCACAACTGCAGTAACTGTGTACATGTCTGCATTGTTGACATTCAAGCAGTTTACTTGTTTACTTGTACATTGTCTACTGTTTGTTTGCATATTGTCTGGATTCACTGTCTGCACTTTGTGTTGTTTCATTTTTTTAACAATCAAGAGACTTACTGTAAGTAAGAATTCCATTGTACCAGTACATGTACCGGTTACATATGGCAATAAAGTTCAAGTTCAAGTTCAAGTTCAAGTAACATCTTGTTTTGTTTTTTATTGCTTCCCCACATTGCTTGGAAGATAAAATGATGGTTCTACGTAAGCACCTGTGCCAAACTCATTCAGTGGCATCTTCAAGTTTGGTGTTTCACATATTATATTTATAGTTTATCTCTTTATACCTGCATGCAACGTCCTACGCTTGTCTCCATTAGCTGTGGGCGTCCAGGTATTTGTGCACTGCTGAATTTGGTCTGATTCTTTTTGAATTTATTTTGCAGCTGCTACAGTGTTTGCTAATCCTCCTAGTTTGGTGCCATCTGTGAACTTTATTCATCTGCTATAAATTAGGAAGTGCAATGGTCCTTAAGATGGATTCCTGAGGTACTCCACTTATCTGTAGCCTGTTCACTGTCCATGAACAAATTCCTAGTCCAATATCTACTGTACATTACCTTGAACACCTACTTCCTGGATATTGTGAATTAATCTTCATAATAATTCGTTCTTGCAAATTAATGCTATGGTCTTTTTGATTCTATGACTGTTGTTTCCTCAAGACTCAACTTCAGTGAAGCAAGATAGTTAAGCATGCCTTTTCTAAATTATTGCTGACACTCTCCTAGAAACCTTTTGACTTAAAAATGCTCCTCTAGTTCAGTTCACAAGTAAGAGAAGTAAAACTTATTGATCTAGAATAACACGGCTCATTTTTGTCACCCACTTTATGGATGGGGGCTGCATTAGCCGTTCTCCACTCAGTGGGTTGAAAATCCACCCAGAGCTTTGTTAATGAACAGTGATTGACATCTCTTGTTTCCTTAAGTACAGTTCGGAGAATACCATCAGGCCCTAGAGATTTGATTATCTTTAGTGTTTCTAGTGTTTCACTTTTTCTTCTATGATGATACTGTTAAATACAGAGCTTATAATACATCAGTTATTCCTTTTTATCACCTGTAAGATCTCTTATCAGAGATCTTGGTCTCTGATATGCTTTACTTCATTTTATGCTGTTCTGTTGCTATTGAATTTATTAAATAATAAAGCCAAATAAAAACAAGCTGTAGCATAAACTCTTGTACAACATTATTTTCTGTCACTGTGCCTTAGTTCAGTGAAAATGCATCAGAATACTTCAGAACAATATACAGTCTGCAGTATAATTTAAGAAAGTATTATCAAGTTCAAAACTGCTTACCTGAAGTTTGCATCGAGCTTATACTTTGTAAACAAAACAATGCTGGCTGCAAATAAGCAGCAGGCAGTTTTTTTAACTTGAACAGTTTCCATCAACTAAAGAGAGATGCTTAGAAGTCTGAGCTTTCATTTCTAAGTACTTTTCTTTCAGGTCTTTGCATTTTTTTTTCAATTCCACAAGGTCATGCTGTGCTAACAGAACTTACAGTTCACAGTTATAAATTGCATTTGATAACACAGTGCCATGAATTAGCACTATCACCTTTCAACAGAAGGTTATTAGTGTTACTTCGTGCCGCTACGTGTTTCGCTGGAGTCCGTCTGCTTTGAGCATGATTTTTTTTTTATCAACAGTCAGGCACTGCAAAGCGGGGTCCGATTCTCAGTAACTCCAGCTGGAGCGACTGCGCTGTAGAGGATGTTCCCCGCTGTGTGGAGTGTAGCAGTCTCGGGCCTTGTCACGCTGTCCCTGCCTGCACGGGCACCATGGAGAGGAGCTAATTGGATTTGTTGTCACCTTCAGTAGCTGCCAGGAGCTGGCGTCTGCTCCGGTTAGAGATGAAGACATCACCATGACAGGACCCCGGAAAAGGATCAGCTGTTATCCTGGGTACCTCTAATAAAGTCATGGTTGTAATGTCCAAGTGGACAGACTCAGGCCAGCTGTTCAGTGCGTTTCAGGGGCAGGCTTAAGGAAGAGGGGACATGGCACCCCAGCCCACAACGTCGCAGAGAGCCGAAATGCCCACAGCATTCCCAAAACAATGTGTCACTCAACAGCAGTTAGAGGACAGCACCTCCTCAACTACAAGGGCTTTGTTCATGTTGCTGTTGCTGCTGCCTCTGCAGGCTGACACAGCGAGCGTGGCTTTCACACTGACGCTGTCTGAACATGTGGTGCGATGTGCTATCTCAGGCAGTGCCACATGTTGGAAGTTTAACATCTTTTATTAGAGCTGGATTTAGAAAGAAAGACAAAAGAATCCTCAGCCTTGCGTTGGGCAATGTCAGGTGCATGTTGTAGCTGCTGTTTGTGTTGGAGTCAGAGTTCTTTTAATTCTTTCACTGTGCTTCTAGGTTGCTTGTTTTGGTATTTTCTACCCATCCTTAAAAAAAAGTTTTCTTTCTATTCACTCTTATCTTCTCGGACTGCTTCTTCTCCTGTTTATTATCATTCTTAGAAGTAGTTTAAGGATACCCTGTATCGTTTGTCCTGTTGTTTTGTGAATTTGTGATAAATATGTCCTTTATAGAAATATGCTTATCATTTTTTTAACATCCTGCAAAGCATAGTGGAGTGACAGAGCAGTGGGAGCAGTAGAGTGTAGCAGAATGAGCTGTGTCATCACGTCTCTATTTTTCATTATACTGAGGCAGTGTGTGTTTCTGGCTGGAAAAATAGTGACACAGTGACTTAACTGTCATTTCTGTAAGCTCTGTCCCTCAGAGTTTGTTTTTAATATTCAGTGCAATAGATATCATATTCACTTTACCTTGCTGTGGTAGAATAATATGAAATAATATTTTAAAGAATAGAATCAGAAACCTTGCAGAAGTGTAGTTTGTGTAGTTCTTCAAGATGCGTTGCTGCAGCCGCTTAGGTTTCTTACTTACTATACAGAGTGCTCTGACTTCAGCATGTTGGCTTGGAAATATGAAACAGTTTACAAAATAATTAATTAAACTACATAGTTCTTATTTTAATAATATGTAGTTCTTGACAGTTGTTCCCAACACATTCATATTTATAACTAAACTGAGTGTATAAATGTTTTTCCTAGTTCAAAATATCAATTTGTACATTATTGTTTTGTTACAGATGTACAGGTGAGGCAGTAAGAGTGTGTTTTTCGGGAGATTGCACTAACTGCTGTACAATAACACACACAGGGCGTTACGCACATGGTAAACAGAAGTAAAAAGACAAAGAAAAAAGCACAATAAATTAACCCTGTAAAGTAAAACCCAGGAGTAAAATTACAATTTGCATCAATAGCTTAATGAAAAAAGTACAATGAAAAAACAGATGTGAATCTGCCCACAAGAGGATCTGTTGTCCACTGTGAGGGCTGGTCTTCAGCACGCAGCACTAAATCAGCAGATCTCAGATTAAGAGTTGGACTCTACCATTCAATAAGTCCACTCTTTATCTCGCTGGGTACCTGTTCTATTGACAGTGACATGGGAATGGAGTTACAGTATGTGCAGCTACAGAGTTGTTTTAGTTGACCCAAAGGTCACGGGTTTCTTGACATTCTGAAGCCTTTTCAGTACCTTAAATCCCCCAATAAGAAAGCTGTTACAAAAGTCTAATGTCTATGAAATAAAAGCATGTAGAGCTTTTTTTAGCATCACATAGGCGAAGACAGCAAAGATATAATCAAGCAGTGTTTTGCAGATGGAAGAAAGATACACTTGTGAAGTTCCTAACATGTGCTTCAACTGACAAACAGAATAAAAAGTAACACCAAGATTTCTAACTTTGATCAAGGGCTTTATTTCACAACCATCAATAACAACACTGAAGTTAGGAACTTTGATGTTGGGAGCCTGTGGGCATAGCATCAGATTTGTCTCAGTTTAGCTCATTTTATTTTTTAAGCCAAACACTGTATCCCTCAAAATAATGGTACAGTAGATATGTGATGATCTGAGATGATCATTCAGGAAATAGTCAAATATATCATCTATAGCCAAGGTGATAGTTATTCAGCCAAGATGCAACCTACTGCTGTTTCAGGAGGATCCCCTACTAGAATGTATCCAGAAACCCCATTTGAGAGATAATAGGAAGGCAGTGTCTCTGAAACCCAGAGAAGAGGCTGCATCTCTTGTAATCTGTCTCCATCAGGGGTATAACACGTTTAATTGTCTGTATTATTACTTCATATTTATATCTTGTGCAAGAAGTATATGAAATTGACAATTTATTTAGCAGTTCTTTTGATGTTTTGTGTAGTTGGTCACCTGAGCACCATGACTGTTTCACTCTCAATGTGACATGCAGTCTTTTGCTGAAGACTTGGTTGTTGTGCAAACCCACCTTTCAAAAACATTTAAAATCAAGATGTCATTTTGGAAAGGAGACAGAAATAAATACACATCTAACAGAGATTGAGTCATTTTAACCAAAGATAATTATTTTGTATTCTCTTTTTGTCAAGCAATTATTTTCCACTAGTTTTGTACTGTTTTCTTTTGATTTCTGTCTTCAAAAAACTTCTATTGCCTTAGGAACTGATCTTGCGTGATTATAATTAAGCTCTTCAAGGTCATAACAATATTGTAACACTAATATAAAATACTCTAGTGAGCACATGAGATGTGTCTCAGTATTTATTATTGTACTTAAATGTTCAAAGTCATTTAAGAATATTCCAGGAGTGGTATTGTGTAGATTACATTTCCTCCCTTATGTCCCCCTGGACTTGCAACATATTCTGTTTTGTTCATGTTCTTTGAGTAACAGCACTGCGCTGACAGCCAGCAGGACCGTGTGGAATCCTGGTCCTGGAGGGGTGGTATCTGCAGCTCTTCGAGGTCTCCTTAAAGCAGCAGCACCTGTAAATTGGTCTAGCTAAGCCAGCAGCCAGCTTGTGAAGAGAGATGAGTTGGAATGTAAGGACTGGGCATTCCTTGTGAAAACAGTACATGAAAAAGTGTAAGACCGGCCTGTCCAGTCCTGTTCCAGCAGGAGTAGTGTGTCTGCAGGTTTTTATTTCAACTTCGCTCTTGATGAGCTACATTAAATCATTATTAGCTTAATTGGACCATTTTACCAGCTTTTCTGTACTCCAGGTGCTGCTGCTTTAAAGTGCCCGATAAAGATGGACGTCTCAGGTGTGAAAGTGAAGTTCCAGTCTGACCTGGAGCAGGGTGGCATTAGGACTGAATGTTGCCCACATTACGACCAACAGCACTTCATTCTTACAAGAATGAAGAGACACATTAAAACATATATGTGTATGTTGTTTCTAATGTATGCTATTTCTGTTATAAAAATAAGTTTAAGTGAAATTATTCAAAAAATTAGTCTAATTCTGCAGCACAGTGATTTGAAGAGGAAGGAAAAAAATATCAGTAATTGGGAAAATGTTGGTTCTGCAGGACTAGACATTCTATACTCAGGGGATCAATTACAGAAACACTCATTCAGCTCTTTCTATTCAAATGAACACCTGAAGAGTGGGGTCTCAGTGGTTTTAAAAGCTTGGGATATTACTAGATAAATGTTAGTCCAATAAAGAGCTCATCAACGGCAATTTGTATGCATTTAAGCTGACAGCAAAAAGGCTTTTTTAATTGTTTTGTCCTTTTTTCCCTTTTTTATTTCACACATTTAAGGAAACAGGTAAACTATTGTATATTTGCAAACGCTGACCAACATTTATAAAATGCAGGTAGCTTTGGGCAGGTCGGACTTTGTTTCCTTGTAGAACATGCAAGGTTTGTTGTTTAGCTGTATTGTCTGTTCCATGCTTGGTGGATTACTTGCCTTCAGTCCACCAGGTAGGCCAGACAGACTGACAAGCAGATGGGAGTAAGTCCCATCCAGTGACGCAAATAAAGAGAAATAAAAACTCTTGACATTTTATATCATCATAAGAGTGTGTATGTGATTGATGTTCACAATAACTTACATGTATACATGAGGGTCATTAGAATGCCAACCAATCAGTCATTCAAATAGTCAATTAATCAATTAATTACATGCTCAATGATATTTAATAAAAAAGGTTTTTCTCAAAGAAGCTCTCAAAGCCTGAGAAAGGATTGAAATTATAGCTTAAACATCATTTTCCTTCTGTCCCTCAAGCAGATGATAAACTAAAGCGAGGTTCAGAATCTGTACAAAGATACAAAAAGAGACCTGCTGTTCTCATACACAGTTAAAATATGCACTTTTTTCTAAAGGCTGAATATAATTGTCTTTTCCAGGTTCTTAATATAAAACGCCATAAAAGTGCCTTCAATGACCTTGATGAAGTCATTAGCCAAACAAAGATGGGTTCTGTTGTTCACTTGTGCCCTTCTCCAAGGGATGTTTGGAAGTCAGTAATGTACAGTATGAGACGGTATGAGACAGTACTTCAACCTGACTTTCACTTCTTAGGAGCCATTGTTGCCAAACAAGAAATTGATGGTCATGGATGAGTGTATTGGCCCGTAGTACTCATCCCGTTTAAAATATCCACCAACTGCATTTCTAGGCTTCTCTTGAGTTAAGTAGCTTTAATTTTTTTTTTATTGTGATTTCCATGAGTACAATTTCATATGTGTGATCTTTCAGTGCTCCTCAGCAAAGCCACTCCTCTGTGTGGTGTGGTCTGTGCATCCTGAAAGGAGCAGCATTTTTTGCACTCTGATGGATCTGTGTGAGTCCAGGGAGAAACCTGCCAGACAGATGAGCTCTGCCCAGGGAGGCTGGGAAAGGTCATCTGAGTGACAGTCCTGTTTTGCTAGCCTTCAGACAGCGGGGCAGGACAGGGTGAGGGCAGTCTACACTGACACCTGAAGCAAAAAGCACGGAGATCATTCAGAGAATGATAGTGACTACTGTCAAGGCCTTTCTTTATATCTTTGTATGTTTAAAGCATTTGCCCCATGTTGGACATAATACAAAAATAACATATTCTGCATTTGCCTCTTTTTCTTACAATCACAAGAGGTTTTGATATTGCATCTAATACAGGATAATAACAAGTAAAGTGAATCAGCCTAGGCAATTTTGTTAAAGTCAATAGCACATTCTGATTTACTCGTAATGTGTGTAAAACACATTGATTTGGTATTCAGAATGAAAGCAATACAATGTGATGTAGCCTCTCATAAAATTTTAATTCTTAACTTTGAAA